GCTAGATCAATTAAATTTTGTCCTGCTATTTTAGTATAAATCACACTTATATGGGAACTAGAAATGACACTATATTAATTATTGTAATCATCAACCTTATTTTTATTTGACCTCAGAAATGTGACGGGTCAATTAACATTCTTCCAATTATGACATCACACTGAGATCACTTTCCACGAACCTGCGTTTTTTCTTGTCCGTTGGTTAGCGGAGCAGTAATAATACAATTATTGATTCCAAAAAAAAATCCATCATTTTCACGATGAATGGTAGGTGGATATATTTATACCACCATAAAAACAGCCTGCGTGTGTCTCATTAGTGGGGCGCTTTTAGCGACGGCAAAGCGGAGAGATATTTCACATCTTGTCACGTAATCTTCCACGCTAACTACCCACTGGTCAGCACAGTACGGACAGAAAAAGCTCGCGATTCAAATCATACAGCAATCCTATTTTACGAGACCATCGTTTGTTTCAACCTATCCTTTTGAATCAACATTTTTGACAAACTCAGGATAAGAGGAAATTTACATATTTATCCCGGGGGAGAAGATAGCCGATAGAACGGCTTAACCATATGACAAACCACGTCTTCTCGCCGGTTACCATTCGATGTCGGGTATGGAATTAGTTAGTTATTTTGTTTCCGAAAGCCTGGACTTGATGACGGAGGAAGCCTTAACCGACCAGCGGTTACGTGAACCACCCCACGGCGGCGAGGAGTCCAGCAATCCTTTCGCACATAACTATCCCCGCAGGGGATTCTATTCTAACCTGCGAACCTAACGCTTAACACGATGGGCCATAGCGCCGCGACTCACTCCACCAGGAACAAACACGGAACACGCCTCACTGATGAAAATCTGCAAGACTCGCTCAGAGTTACAGTGTCAAGTTACACGTCGGAGTATAATACTATGCAACATTTGATAGTACAACTGTTAAGTCCATTTTACCTTAGACTTGTGCAGAGTGTTGAAAATCAATTTAAAAACACTCAGTTTTGAAATACAAGTGTTATTGATAGGAATTTATTTGCAACGTTGTGATAATTGTTTAATATCCTGAAGAATCCTAAAGTTTATTAGTTTCTATACTGCACTAAATACCAGTAATTATATCAATAATTGAAGCTTAATCGAGCAACTGATTTTTTTTAGAAATGTACATTGAACTGGTAGCCCGCAGCTTAATCTGTACCCTAAAAGTAGCCCTCGGCTTCGAAAAGGTTGGTGACACCTGCCCTAAGGTATGCGTTTCACTTGCTTAACTTGATCTGAATAGCGTTTCATCTCTTAAAAGACATTCTCATAGAATTCGTTTCCGTACTAAAAGAATAAAAAACCAGTGTAAATTACATTCTAACATGGGTATTCTTTCTAATATTTTACATGATGCTTGTAGACCTTATTCATACAAAAACATTTGAGCTCAATTTTGAGATGATTGCTTTTTATACCTACTTTGTTGCTCCGAACTTTAACACTCGAACAACTTGACTATTGCAGTGACGTTTTAATGCTTCTATATGCCTCTGCCCTCTATATATAAACGTTTCTTTGTGTCCTTCACCACTTACATATTTTAAGTAACCAATGCCATACACACACATGAAAACCTTCTCTTATTATTTTAGTCATCAATCAAAAATGTCGAATTCGTTAATATCATAATTGATCAAGCAAGTAATTTGTCTGAATGTATATCTAGGTATATTTAATTATTGCATATATCATCCCAAACGCTTGCCAACTAAATTATTCTTCCATTAAAAGTTGCATTGAAATTGATTGTTTCAGACAAACCTAAAATATATCATCCTAGATGTATTATCACATCCAAAGCTCTTGTCTTTCACGTTATATATATATATTGAGTGGTACTGGTAACTGATCTCGATGTCCACATGGTCGTATTGAACACTTTTCACTCGAACACTTTTCACTTGAAAGATTTTAGACATGGCTGTAATCATTGGCTTGCTTTCGTGGATTTTCAGTTTTTGTCGCATTTCCGAATATTATGTATAACTCAAATAACTCAATGATCATTTTAATTTCTAGAGCATTTTAGTTTTATTCCAGTAATCGAAAATAGTCCCGAAATATATGACGATCATCTCAAGCAGCTACAGCACCTTGCATCCGACACGATTACGACCCGCTTTGACAAACTTATAAAAAATCAAAGCCAAATTAAGTGGCTGTTAGTCTAGGATTGGCAAAATCTAATCTTTTTTCGAATCGAATAATTTGAATATTTTTAACGAATACCGAATATTCGAACAATGAATATTTTTTTATACGTAACAGGGATCCAGAACGTCGCAGGTCGATACTTCGTTTGGAAACTAATGGAAACATTGAAAAGTCGGCAATAAAGCGTTTTTTTACTGGTTAATGGTTAATTTCATCATAATCGCTGGACGCTGATTGTTTTTGTCACCGCGATCGTTGCGGCGGCAATATCCTAAAGTTGGTATTCTATATTCCCGCCCTTTCTCGTTTTATTGAAAGCATAAGGGGTCGCCGGATATCGAAGTTTCATATTTCTAGTTTACCCTTGCGTTTACATTAGTGACAGCTGTTGAATACATTAAGGGCTGATTTCAAAACCAAATTAATTTTATTCTGATTTTCATCCTCTGCCTTGAATTTGATTTTACTTATCACCGCTTGTAAATTAACTGTGCCTGTTTAAAGTGAACGGTAACCGAGATGCAGATATTTATTAAAATGATAATTGAGTTTCTCATGCTTTTCTGCAAATATGCGATTGCGTGAATCTTGAATGTTGATTTGAAATAGCGATTAAATAAATTGGCAATTAAGGCATTTCTAGGTCTTCGTGCCTAATAAAGGGTCAGACGCTAATTATAAATAATTTTGTAAGTTTTAAACTTTTTTTTTTTCAACAAAACAACACACACCGATGGTTATTATAGCTGAAATACTTACTGAGAAATGCTGAATTTCATTTACGGAATTTGCAAATTCAGCACTTCACTCAATGATTTTGATTATGTCATGCCATAAGCCTAAGGCTTAATTATTACTGCCCATATGCTTCAAAATTTAACAATTGTAATCATTTTCGATGATAATAGACGGAACAATTCGTGAATGAGACAGTGTGCATTGCTACAACGAAATTCACGATTGATTTTATGTTCTACTCTTGGCTCAACGGCCATGCATGGTTGAGTAAAATGTTTGCATATTCGAAGCATTACTTGGCCAAGGATGGAAGGGATCACTAAAGGGCTAATACAAAGTGCTTTAAAGGGAGTAGGACAAAACATTTCTTATCTGGTTACAACTTAATGAGCGTTTTTCAAACAAGTAACTCATACCACCTTTGGAAAAACTTTTGGTCATTTTTAAATCCATGCTATTTGTATAACTAGAGTTTTCTAACGACCTAAAATCGCCTTTTTCACAATGAAACGCTGAAAAGTCATTTTAACATTTAATTTTAATCAACTTTATGTTCGGTCATGCAAGAAATGGCTAATGATATGTCACCAATCATGAGGAGTTCAAAATCTGGGAAATTTATCTCAATACCTAATCTGGTTTGACATTTCTAAATTTACGGAGCGGTCGATACTTTTTTGTGTGCAAAATATAGAGTTGAAACGATACGTTAAGTGCAAACAAAGATAAGCATATAACACCGTAACGCAAAGACAACGACTTTTTCAAATTTGTCGTTTTTTTTCTAATAGCGAGCGCCGTTGTGAAATCTCGCACAATTCACAATTGAATTGGAGACGCGCGAGTTCGGTGTCCAACCATAGCGGCGCAGGTCACGCGGTACCGGATATTCGAATAGTAAAATGCCATTCGAATATTTTATTATTCGATTCCTTATTGGAATATTTTCAGCCCTAGTTGTTACGTGTGTTGTTGTTACGATGACTTGGTATTTTAAATATGCGCTTAAGGCTTGTTGCTATTTTACCTTGCGTTGTTTGTGTGCGGCTCTTCATAACCTTGAGGTTTGAAATTTGGCTCTGGGATTAAAAAAGTTTGAGAACCACTGGGATATACCGAGAATTTGTTGCTCACAAATATATTTTGTCGTGTTATTGTTTTCTGTTTGACAAAACAAATAAACTCTCTACTTAAAATATGAGAAATCTGTTACTATTTTGAGGGGGCTAATGTTTAAGACTTGAAGAGCAAAACGTAATAATATATCAAACAGACCTTCACATTAACAATTGTATTCAAATTATTCATCGAAAAAAATTGAAAGAAATTTTAAGAATTATTTACAATGTTTAGATAATTTTAACTAGCCGATTTTGATTTAATTTAAATTTGGCATACGACTCGATCACTCTGCATAGAGAGACTATTGTCACTTTTGGGACCCGGAAATGACAAGTCGATTTGCCAGACTCGTTTTATTGAAAGTATTCAAAACGGTTGACTAAAATACAAATGAAATAATTAGCACCAAATAAATCAAAGACAAATGATACAGAATATAAAACTAATACTTACACAAAACAACTCCATATAACAGCATAGTCCCAAAACGACAGATATACAACCAAGGTAAAACAGTAACTATAAATGCAATACCATACGAGCTGTAGACATGCAAATATCATAATGTTATATCGAACGATTCGAAATACAGTATAAAAGAAGACTATTGAATGAATTCAAACTTCAACGTTATAAAGGCGATGTAATCTTAAACTGCCATAACAAGAAATGAAATCCTAAACTGCTACCACCAGAAATGCAATCTTAAACATCTTGCTGAGCTTAGGGGACGATAATAAAATAAATACGTAACACGATAACACGTGAAAGAGAAAAATGCGACACGTCGAATAGAGAAAAACAACACAGTAATGATGACGACGACGAGATAGCGATAATCATCACGATGACGATGTACAACTGAAGGAATCCTAACTAAACTAAACTTTAGGACCACACGGACTGCCGACAAAGCCACCCCATGACTATCCGCAGGAAGTCATTCTTCTAGGAGGCAGATTTTCGATGCGGGTCGAATATGTATGCCATTTATAGTTTTAACCGCGACAGTTCGGACTCGTCCGTCAGAACCAGGGTAAATTTGAATAACACGACCAAGTTGCCAACGTCCTCTCGGTGCAACGGGGTCAGAAACGAGCACCAGATTTCCTTCTTGTAAGTTTCGTTGTTCCTTCCGCCACTTACATCGTGTCATCAAATTCGGTAGGTAATCTTTTCGCCATCTTCTCCAAAACTGATTACAAATAGCTTCGGTTTGCCTCCATCGTTTTCTGTAGCATAATTTCATCACGTCTGAATCCAGTGGAAACACTTCGGCCGAATGCCCTTTCAACAAACAATTTGGTGTAATGGCACTAAAGTCGGTTGGTTCGTCGCTCACTGTTGTAATGGGTCTACTATTCATGATGTCGGTAACCCTCGCAAACGCGGTCTTCAAGACTTCGTCGGTTACACGCACATTCCCCAGAACTGCTTTCAAAGCACGCTTTGCGGACTTTACTAATCTTTCCCAAACGCCACCAAAATGGGGAGCGTAAGGTGGAGTGAAATGCCATTCAATATTGTGTTTTAAGCACAGTTCTGCCACGCGAGATTCATCTATCGAGTTAAGGACGGTTTTCAGCTCTCGGGAACCACCAACTATATTTGATCCGTTGTCCGACCATATTTGGGATACAGGTCCTCGTATCGCAATGAAAGACAAAAGTACACATATGAAGGAATCAGTATCCATAGTCCATGCCATCTCAATGTGTACAGCTCTCATTGAAAGACAACAAAACAAACACCCCCATCGTTTCTCTAAAACCCTGCCTCTCTTTGTTTGGATCGGGCCGAAGAAATCCAGCCCGACATTTTCGAACGGTCTTGCTTCAGTAACACGAACTTTGGGCAGATTCGACATCAGTGGGGTTCTGCAACTTGCTCGACGTCTTTTACATTCCCAACAATTATCAATTATTCGTTTGACAAGTTTTCTCCCTTTTATATGCCAGTAGCGCTGTCTTAATGCGCTAAGCGTGGCCTCTGGACCGGCATGTGCGAGTCGAATATGAGCAGCTTTCATTATCAACCATGAAATTCGACATGGGCAGTTCGAATCACATTTCAAACTTGAATACGGCAGTATAATAGGATGTTTCGAACGCAGTGGGATATTGGCATTTTCAAGACGGCCCCCGACGCGGATCACTTGTCCATCGAAAAATGGCGTCAGATTAAGTAACGTTGATTTTGATGATAAATCTTCTCGTTAGTTATGCATTTGCGCTCCACGCGGAAATGCTTGTTTTGAGCAGAAACTATCCAATACCGGCCCGCGAGTTCCAACTGTTTAGGAGTCACAAGTTGAGCTGGCAGCGGGCTATACGTCGGACATTTCACAGAAAGATTCTTAAAATACCGAGCTGCCAACAAAACCACGGCAGTTCGTTTGCATAAGGAAAACCACGAATCAAAACGTTCGACATCGACGACCTTTTCGATTTCCGAATCAAGTACTCCATCGCTGTTATCCGTAGTTATAAAACAATCTGCTAGTATGCATGTTTGATATTTAATCTCTTGGTCGTGGTCGTCAACTGCACGTAACGCTATCTGGCTTGGCCAATCACTTTCGGGCATGAGCAAAAACTCTGGTCCATGTAGCCATCGATCAGAATTTTCTAGAAATTTGGAAACCGTCATTCCCCTAGTGCAGTAATCAGCGGGATTCTGTGCGGAGTCGACGTACTTCCATTGGTGTGGCCGAGTGTGATCGAGTATTTCGCGAACGCGATTGGCTACAAATGTTTTAAATCTTCGAGTTTTATTTTTTAAATATCTCAATACACAAGTCGAGTCGGACCACATATGTACGTCGCCTAGTGGAAGGGATAGTTCTTTTCGGAGAAAATTTAACAATCGCACGGCCAAGAGAGCACCTTGCAATTCTAAACGAGGCACGGTCATACCTTTCATAGGTGCGACTCTTGCTTTAGCCGCGATAAGACTACACTGAAAATTCTCCCGGGAATGCTTCGATATTATGTATGCTACCGCGCCATATGCCACTTCTGATGCATCACAGAATATATGAATTTCATACGAGGAACTTTCACATTTAACACCTTTAAATTGACGTGGAATCGAAAAACTCTTTAAACATTTCAGCGAATTTATCCAATTTTCCCAACACTTCAATCTCTTATTATCAAATACTTCGTCCCAAGCTAAGTTGTCACGCCAACATTCCCGCAGTAATAATTTGGCATACAAAATGATTGGTGCTACAAATCCTAATGGATCGAATATTGAACTGGTTACACTAAGGGCCTTTCTTTTCGTGGTAAATTCAGTAAATTTCTGGTGGTCGAATATAAAGCAATCCTTCTCGATGTCCCAATGCAAGCCCAGAGCTTTTCTAACAGGTAATCTGTCCAGATCTAAGTCAACATTAGTGACGACACGTCCACTGGATATTTCACGTAAAACCGATTTAGAATTCGAAACCCACTTGGTCAAGTTGAATCCTTTATCGTGTAACATCTTAATCATATCTTTAGCTGTCGATACCGCGGAATCAACATTCCATTTCGAAGTAAGTAAATCATCGACATAAAAGTCTCTATCGGTAGTTAATATTACGTCTCTAGGAAACTTGTTTCTACTATCGTACGCAGCTCTCTTCAAACAAAAGTTTGCGACATAAGGTGAATCCACAGCTCCAAAAATACGAACTAAGAATTTATACACATCTGGCCGTTTGGTTGAAAAAAGGTCTTCCGACCAGAGAAAACGTGCAGAATCCGTATCATCTTCCGGCAATCGAATCATATGAAACATGGCTTCTATATCGGCGCTTATAGCGATTGGTCTTTCCCGAAAACGTAAAAGCACCCCGACTAGATTATTGATCAAATCGCGCCCGGACATCAATCGACTGTTCAGACTGACGCCGCAGCAAGTAGATGCCGCGTCAAAAACAATTCTTAGTTTATTTGGCTTGTTGGGATTTTCAACGCCATGATGAGGCAGAAACCAAGTTCGAGGACCGCGAAACGCCTTTTCATCTGAAGTTAGCTTACGCACCCAACCCCTTTCAATATTCTTTGCCATTTCTTTACAATATAAGTTTCGCAAACGTTCGTTTCCTTGGAGTCGTTTTCTAGATTTTCGAACCTGTTAAGCGCTACGTGTTCGTTTTGCGGCATTTCGCAATTTTTCATTTCTCCACATAAACCACCAACCTCGAGTAATGACCGTCGATAAATCTAATTTTTCTTTCCATCAAATTATCAGTTTGTCTATCTTCAATCGACTCGCTACGGGTCAAATTGTACGCCGTGCCTACAGCTTCAGTGGACCAAAATCGCTCACTTGTTCTTGCAGCATGTTATACTGGTCACGCAAATCACAACACAGCATATTTGAAACAGTTTCATCTTCATTAGTCGCGCCTGAAGACCCGATCAAAGTCCAACCGAGAGGAGTTTTAATACCCACTGGTTCATGTTGCTGGCCGACTCTACGTTCAAGCTGGAAATGCGCTAAGGGATTATCGGCTCCGATTAAAATCATGGCTTTGTTCGCTTCAATGTCGGTTAACGGAATATCCTGCAGGTGAGTCATATTGTGATCGTTCTTAAGGATTCTAGCTGGATGTGGTATGCGTGACTCGACCACAAACACGTTGCTTAACATCAGAATTTGACCACTCTCGTCGTGAGCAGATCGCACCGACAATTTCACCACCTCCGTATTTTGCGAAACGCCCTTATTGCATAAGGTGTTAATGGTTAGACACCTAGGACTTCCTTTCAAACCAAGTTTTTGTTTTAATTTGGGATGTATTATTGAGATTTGACTGGCAGAATCTAGAACAGCGATAGCATATTCAGAGGATCCCAATGGGCCTTTTACTACGACTGGCAAAAGCTGAAACTGAACACCATTAACGCCTGAAACATGAGAATTGGCAACGCCGCTCATATGAGGAGGGAGATCAGGCTGATTGTTATCACTCAATCTATTAGGAACGACTCTCAAACCATGGATGGCTGAATGATGCTTACCGGGACAAACACGACACATATTGCGGAACCGGCACGAAATAGCTAAATGTCCAGGTTCGAGACAGTTAAAGCACAGGCGTGAATTTAGTAGAAATCTTCTTTTCGTGTCATTGGCACTAAACCTGAAGCTATCGCAGTTACTTAAAGAATGAAAACCATTGCAATAGAAACATTGCATTCGCGGTTGTTCGAGCGGCTGATTTGAATGACCCGATAAAGGGTATACCACATTCTTCTTAGGAAATGCCTGTCTGCGATCGTCACGATCTATTTTAGTACTGAAAAGATTTGGTGAAAAAGGATTTCCTAATTCCTCGCATCGTTCCCACAACCACTGCTCGAAGTCCAGTAAACTCGGCATCTCGTCGGCACGAATCATATCAGTCACAAACTTATTCCAACTCGAGGTCAGTTCTGCCGGAATTCGCATTGCTGTCTTTCTAACATTTTCAATACTATACAAATCTGCAAGCAATCGCATTTTCTTCAAATTTATCACAATGTCGCGAACTTCAGAATGAAAATCGGATATTTTTCGGATACTGAATTCTGTTACTCGTCTACCATCTACAACCTTCTCGAGAAAGGCCCGAGCAATCGTCACCCGTTGGCCGAATATATGTTTCAATTCACTCAACGCGACAATATAATTACTTCCCACCGTGCCTAAGCCATCAACATGTCGTTTAGCCACCCCCGTCAAAAGACGCGACTAAGCGAACCATACGCGAACCGTCGTCGTCAAGAGAACTGTGTACATTATCAAAAAATAACTCAATAAAGTTTGGCCATTCTAGGGGCGTTCCGCTAAAACTAGGAATCGTAATCGGCGATAAATGGTGCTGGACGATATTCTAGAATTCAACTGTAATGATAACATAGTTTGTTCCTCTACTGACATATTAAAAGAATTAACAGAAAATTTACCAGACTGGTTAGGTTCCAAGTGGTCAATCCACGCGTCGACTGCTTCTTGTGGTAGTGAGCCATTCTGTTTGCAGGAGACGGGCGGTTTGTAATTCGTGCTGTCGGGAAGTGCAATTCTTTGGTCTTTTCTGAATTTGTTGCCACTTGACTCCTTCGTCAGGAACAAAAAAGTTCGCTGCACTTCGTCTGCGTGTTGACTCTAACGGATATTCAATTTGACGCCACGGAAGTTATCTTTAGGCATCTTTTTGGTAGCCAATTCAGTCTTTTCTTGTTCAATTTCACGCATAAGTTCGTCAGCCTTGGCGACGTGTTAGATCTGCCATTCGTTCTTTTTCGTTTATGTCTCGACGTTTGGTATCAGACGACGCTCTAGTGCTGATATTTTTATTGCGAATGGTATCTTCTTCTGTGAGAAAGTCTCGTTTAGCCATACGTACAAGAGAATCGGCTCTTTCTACCTCTCGTTCTTGCTCAAGTTGCAATCGCTTCAGTGATTCAACACTGCATTTTGCTTGTATTGGATCGACAGACCGTGATCAGAAACGATCTCCTCGTCAAGGTAAGAATTAATTCTGCTTTCAATTTGATCGATTTTCGATAACATCATTTGCCTTCCAGTTTCATAATTTCTTCAAAACATTTGGATTACGGGTAGTCGGAATGAGTTTATCCATCACTTGGTCATAAGCAATTCGTTTAACATGAAGTTTAATTTTAAGATCAGTAACGATAGAATTTTGAGCATTTTTCAGTAATCCGATTTTGAAATTCTGTCGCACAAACCATTTAGTTCATTTTGTAGTCGGACTCTTTCGTGGCATAATACATTGCGTCAAATAGTTTCAGAGTTACCGTCGTCTGTTTCCGCGAGAGGAACTGCAGGCGAAGAAGAAGCTTCTCGTCTATTCAAATCTTGTGTAATTGATTCATCTGCTTCGTTCATCGTCGTCGCAAGGAGATTTGTTCAACTTTGTCACTTTTGGGACCCGGAAATGATAAGTCGATTTGCCAGACTCGTTTTATTGAAAGTATTCAAAACGGTTGACTAAAATACAAATGAAATAATTAGACAAACGATACAGAATATAAAACTAATACTTACACAAAACAACTCCATATAACAGCATAGTCCCAAAACGACAGATATACAACCAAGGTAAAACAGTAACTTTAATAATGCAATACCATACGAGCTGTAGACATGCAAATATCATAATGTTATATTCGAACGATTCGAAATACAGTATAAAAGAAGACTATTGAATGAATTCAAACTTCAACGTCTATAAAGGCGATGTAATCTTAAACTGCCATAACAAGAAATGAAATCCTAAACTGCTACCCACCAGAAATGCAATCTTAAACATCTTGCTTGAGCTATAGGGGACGATAATAAAATAAATACGTAACACGATAACACGTGAAAGAGAAAAATGCGACACGTCGAATACGAGAAAACAACACAGTAATGATGACGACGACGAGATAGCGATAATCATCACGATGACGATGTACAACTGAAGGAATCCTAACTAAACTAAACTTTAGGACCACACGGACTGCCGACAACTATTTATCATGTTTCGTTAATTTTGGTCTCTCTATGCAGAGTGATCGAGTCGTACGTCAAATTTAAATTAAATCACAATCACTTTGCACGATGACATAAAATGTTTAACATGTTTTTTTCATGTCATTTCTATTCAGAATTAAATAACAGAAAATAATAGAAATAGAAATAAAATTGTTTGACAATATTTGAGGACATGAAAATTTTCTTAAAACAAATTTAACTAACTGTAAAATGTTCTGGTATTCGTTTTTCATATCTTGTTTCAAAGCTCCCGGCGAACAGAAACGTATTTGTGGCAACAATGTACTACAAGATATTAAATATGCAGATGTATTCCTTAGCCCCGAACTGTGCCTCAGTTTTTTTCTTTTCGAATTTCATTGAAATTTACATCTAGGCTTGAAGTTCCTGGATAAGATTGTTCTTTTGAGCGTTGACTGTTTTCCCAATACGGCGTGCTCTTTTCTGAAATTTTGATCCGTGATCGGTTCCTCCTTCTTGCAATAGAACACCAGATGCATGCACCATTTCATGAATCATTAGAATCATTAAATTAGGTTTAAATACAAAATCACTTTAACTTTGATACATATATATTTTTCATAAAATTACCGGAATATACGCTATGTTGGGTAATATATACGGCATTTCCAGTTCAAAACGTGCCGCCACTATTCTGACAAGCGGAATTCAAATCTTTGAGGTTTCTTCGCGGCGACCGTATTTCGTCACCGCACTGAAGAAATTTTTAGGGATGTAAGTTTCGGACATTTCAAGTCCAAGTCCAAGTCCATGCTTCCGAAAACAAACAATACAGTAAAAACTAATCCCATACCCGACTTGGAATGGTAACCGGACGAGAGGCCGTGGTTCGCCATATGGATAAGCCGTCTTATCGGCTTTCCTCTCCCCCGGGATAAATATGTAAATCCTATCCTATCCATTTCATTTCTGATGTTCATGCTCATCATATTGGAACTTGGGAATATCTTTTTTCAGTATTTTGGGGTTTTGAGCCATGCTCTACAAGGTGGTGGTCTTGAAATTCTGAATTTTAATAATATTAAAATTTTTTGGCTGGACTTAGGCCCATTCTGTTCCTAACCTCTACAGTACTAAGTCCAGCTAAAATTTTTATTATTGAGAAGTTCAGGATTTCAAAACCACCACCTTGTAGAGCATGGCTCAAAACCCCAAAATATTGAAAAAAGTGAATTTTGCAAAAATGTGACTTAGGCCCCTTCTGTTCTCATCCGGCGATGTGTTACCATCTGTCCTATTTTCTCTGCTTTTCCGGTATCATGGGCCAACGAACGCAGACTTCTACATGACGTAACAATAAATTAGTCAGCTGTAGGTGGATCCCCAGTGGTCGGATGAATATCAGATGCACTACTACTGTTCGCTTTTGCTTTGAGTAGCCTTTCCATAGTTTTTTTCAGTTATTATTAGTTCAGTTATTCAAAGGAGGTGTTGAAAAGTATAAGTAAGATATTAAACACTTGTATATCCTTACTATAAATAGCAATTTTAGTTGAGCACTAGCTCATAAGACGTTGTTAAATAGGTACGGTGCGGTAACTCCAAGGAAGGCTAGACCTAGAATCTATGTCACGAACAACGATATTTTCTGGCTTGCATGAAATGTTTATGATTAATTTAATGACTATTCAGCAGACTTATACTACTATATAGGCCACAGCATATTTGTAAATAGAAATTAATGGCTGTTTCTGTAAGGCACGGTTGTGTGAAAGAGAAGAAAATAATCAATTTTACTAATGTCGGTTGGTCTAAATCTAAATTCATAGAGTCGACAAGAACCTGGGAAGCAATGATAAGTTATGCCGGAGTGGAAAGAAAGTAGCATTGGAAACGATTGAGAGGTGACTGAGAAATCAAGTTGTAGACAGACAGTTGATGTTTTAAAATATAGTCTATACTATAGCCCTTCAAATTATGTGAACTGTCATCCAAGACGCGCAGACGAGAACCCGAAATCGAACAGCAATTTCTCTCGTTTTCTCGTCACAACGATCCCGATAGGAGAGAGATCGCTGACGTTAGTCAGTTCTTTATGACGTGATTGTGTAGTCGTAGTGACGTAATTTTTGGATGGCGTAGTCAGGTGAAGGTTAGGATTTTTTTATGCTACGCCTACTAGAAGTACGTTGGGTACAAAACTACACGAGACCCAAAACAGCTTCATTGATTGTAGAAACTGTGTTAATTCATGGGGTTTGGAATTCAGTAAAATTGTATTTTAGAATAAGCATTGGGTTCAAGTTTTTTGTTGGTGGCCCATATCTCACATGATAAATTTTTTTTGTGTAAATTGCATTTTTGTGAAAAAATACTTTTTTTTACAACTACTTCTGAAAACTCCAAAACAATGCTGGGAATAGTTTTTTGTCAAACATTCAGTGGGTGAAAAAGTGAATATTTAGTGGCCCGTACCTCTCAACTTTCCCATCTACATGGTTTATTACCCACAGAGCCTCTCGAACTCGCGATGTCGATCAACTATTATAAAGAAAATAGACATGGCAAGTTGATTCTCTCTCTCTCTAGCTCACATTTACCTTCAACGGCTGCTTGGAATAAGATGAGACTGCCACAGTAGCGAAATTGAACTTGGCATTTTGTAACTAACTAGGTTTGATTGTAGAAATACATACTGTTGATTTTTTACTCACACAATGAAGTAATATGATGATATATTTGGCATGCATGAGGTGAAAATAATAAGTTGAGACATTCTTCCCGAATCACGTAAATCTGATTTGTAAATTCAAAAATGGCATCCCTACATATAACTCTTATTTCATGTAAGATCGCACTTTGTTTTGAAATTAGTTGTATTTGATGTAGTTTATTCTTGGCTGAATATTTATGTAACAGCTTAAAATTTGTCAACTGAGTATTTCTGCTGGTCTAATATTGCAAAAATGTAATCAACCAAATCAGTTATGTGGATATTCTATAATATGTTGTAATATTCGATCACATATACATAATTCTCCTTTCATGTATGACCCTACTTTGAACTTGCATACTCCGAAATCGTTTTTCCTGAAAGTGGCTGGATTAGTATAATATTGAAACTTATCCATTTTTTTCTATTAAGTAAAGCGTAATTCTTTGTATACTTCAAATTAATAGACAATTTTCAAACTGAAACTAGTATTCTATTCACAATATAGTAAGTGAAGTTTGAGTTTAAATATTCATCCCTTTATATCCCTTATAGTAAAAATTTCACTACATATTGGCAAATTGCCACAAATACCTTAGCTCCACTTCCTGCTATAGGTATTTGAACTATGTGACAATTCAATATTGCTGGAAGTTCCCTTTATATTTGATATATTCAATTACCTTTTGAGATTTTTGTTGTTTGGTGAAAATTTTTTAAAAGGGTACATGTGTTCCACAGTACACCCCCTGTAGACACTTGAACTTAGATCTCTACAGACCCCGATTGGTTTCAAAGTTCTATTTTTCATCCTTTGTTAATTAATGATATTAGTTATTTATGTATTGATTACAAACCCCCTTCTTGTACACTGAGAAATTCTTTTCAGTAGTCATTGAAATTGATCTTTATATTCACATTGTGCTATAATGGTTTATCATAACCAAAGTTTATCCTATATTTTAATTATTTATATTCCTTTCCATATACAGTACCATAATAATTATTCAAATACGCACATTGGGTATAATTACCACAATTTGTTCTCTATATCATTAATTCTCTAGTAGACCCCTAGTAAATTTTCTCAATATGCATGGATCAACAAACCCGATAGGCGATAACTAACTTCAAGCATTAGCCCCTTGGTAATTGTGCATTTTTTTAATAATTATTCAAGTGTAAAATACTCTATAATAAGCCGTTACACACATAGTCATCCAATACCTGTGAATCTTATGCATAACAGTGAATATGGGGGGAGCTGACTTGGATGACCATATGGTCATGTCGCTCCCTACAGTCACCAGAAACAGTGTTTTTTTTATTTGTATTTATGCTTTCATATTTCTATTTGTTTTGGTTGACGAATCAATAAATCTTTTTCCCGTACGATATGCCTTTCGGTACTGGTATGAGCACGTTGTCCGGTCACTTTGTTAACCAGTGCTCAGTATTCTAACCAAACACATATAATTGAATATATTTATCCTCACTATTGGAGTTTTAAGGAAACAGCCATTTTTCCATCTCCCACTACAAGAAGTTGCAAGGTTGTAGAGGCTAACCCATTGATCATTGTTGCGCGGCGGGTGGTCAATGCGAATCAGCCTCCACCCACTCAAATCATAGGGTACTTTACTAGACAGTAGTTAACATCAAAAACAAGGCTTCATACGTATGAGCTGAGGCGATTCTTCCATTTCGACCTTGCCTAATTCAAGCTTAGGTTTCAGTTTTCAAAACAAATTCAATTTGACTTTTACAGCTTTCATAGAAATTATTAAATTCAGTTGAAATGTTTCGAAGCAAATATATTTTACTATATATATTCTTACACATTTATTGTGAAGAGAACATGGCGGATATAACATCATCTGGATATTCTTACACAAGCAACCCACTTACTCTAACTACTGGAATGAGTTTTACAAGTAAGAATACCAGTTGGGAAAAATTAGAAGGCTTATCTAACGCTACTACTATCTCAAAGACAACTAGAGAAGTTGAAACAACGCCAGGAACAACTTTGGAAGTCAAGACAACATCTACTCCTGTAATATTCCGCGACGCAGAATGCTCTGGGCTTTGTAATAATTTATCTGCTTCTTGTTATGTTTGTAATACCACAAATGATTGTACATATGGAAAGTACAAGAATTTTTCATGCAATGTAATTGATACCTCACCATGTACTGGAAGCCGAACTGTAATGCGAGAATTTGTTTGCAAATACTGTTATTTAACAATACCAGGCGAAGAATATACATGTGAACAGACTAACACTTCTTGCAACGTCGCAGCGACCCCAAGGCAAAGGGTGAAAATGAATTGCACCGTACATAAAAATGTTTTTTGTCTTGGGAAACGGAAATTTTCAAAAATGACTTATTGCAATTGGACTTCTGGTTATAAATGGTCGACTGCGTTAATATTAAGCATTACTCTCGGTGGATTTGGTGCTGATAGATTTTATTTGGGGTATTGGAAAGAAGGAATTGGCAAATTGTTCAGCTTTGGTGGAGTGGGAGTATGGACATTAATTGATATTGTACTAATCGCTACTTCTTATCTTGGTCCTTTCGATGGTTCTGTTTACATTTATTAACATGTTTTGTTATTTTGTTCAAATTTGTTCTATGCATTACATTTTCACAACAGTATATGCATGGTAACATTGCAATATATTTAACTTCTCTTGAGTTATAGTTGAGCCTGATGTAGGTCTTATTTCAACCTATCGTATGGCGAACCATTCATTCAAAACAACGTTTATCCCAACCTTACATTTGGAATATTAATTAACATTTTATTATAACAGACTATCTCTGGTTGTAAATCTATTCTCCAAGGTAGACTGCCAGCAAAGTGCATTAAGTATACTTGCAAAAATGACAGTGCGGGGGGTGTGCTGTCCTAATCTACATTTAATATAAACAGAATATCATAGGCTTCTACTACTATAATGGCAACACCTTATTGCAAATAATTAAAGATAAGAGCTGCATCCTGCATCACTAATTATCATGTAAAGAGGATATCGTTCACGATTTATTCGAAACAATCGTGCATCAAAGTCCGGCCAGAGACTCTTCACTGAATTATAGTAACAAAACGGCTGCTCTGACGTTTACATTCTTTACGTAACAGAATTTATTGTGAGACACGTGTAGAATATAGTTTAAGCCTATAATTAGACAAAATGCAGAAAAATTGATGCGCAAAGGGTTCAATGGAATTTTTTTTTGATGCAATGAGGAAATATTCTATTCGAGAGATGCATCACTGCTTGGTTTTTATAAAAAGAATCTTCTTGAAGGAAAACTTTATCCAAATTTGATAAACCATGTTTAAAAGTACATATTTAGAAAATACTCATTAGAAGGAACTAGGACAGGGGTGGGAAACCTTTTTCGGCTCGCGTGCCTAAATCAGATAAATTTAACGACAAAATTCTTCCGTGTGCCGACCAAAATTAAAAACTTACCTTTGCTACTTTCAAAGCAAACCTTTTAAACATGTACAGACAGTTCGGGAAAGTCAGACAAACAGACTTGATTACTTTTTTTATTCTATATCAGTGAGACCTTTGCTGCTGCGTTACGGTTGATGTGAGTGAGGTATTTTATATCGGGTTTATATTTTCTAACTTTTAAATGAATACACGGACTACCGGTACTGGTTTCATCTACACAGGTTACTCCTATTACAAGAATTAATGGAGTTAGTTCATAACTGAGAACAGAAATTCACAAGCATATGTAGAATTGTAGAGTAATGCAGTTACAAAGTTTTCATGACACGGAAAATTTTCGGGAATGGCATCCCAATCACCCAAGCAATAGTTCCTTTTGTGCACTTCTCTCTTGTTACCTTCCCTAATCGCTCATATTTCTTTCAAAATCAATTTATAACAGTAGGTTAGCAAGTGACTATAACCAACGTGGGCTGTACAACTTTTAAATCAAGCAGAAATGATGAAAAAGGGTGGCACAGACGATCTATATTACATAAAAGTGTAGCCGAAAAAATGCTGAGCTTTTCTTGACAAAATTTCGCGAGAGCACGCGTGCCAGGGGTTGGCCACCCCTGAACTAGGATAAGTGACGCCCATTTAGGAAATGTTCCAATCTTAGCTTTATTCAGTGAGTCGCGTGATACAACAAAAAAATTTCAACCTTTGATTAGTGTTAAAAAATTTTGATTAATCGGCCATCCGTTCAATTTTTTACTTCCTAAAAATATGTGTGGCCCGTGAACGAAAAAAGGTTACCGAACCCATTGTAAATGAATAACATGCTATTTTGCCATTGTTTCAGCCTTCAAATAAGTTGACGTTTTTTCATGTAATTCAGAATAGCCCTTCAGTTCTATCCAATCTCAGTGTGTCTTGCCCAACATCCATAGGGCCCATCCTGCTGCGCCAAGACCTCCCGACCGTGCAGCTCCATTCTGCCAATACACGGCTAATACAACTTCTACAGTTTCCAATATCAGTCATCTCTCCAAGTGACTTCTACTTCGTCTGTTCTAAACCTTTGAGTGCATGTTGACTTTTCTATTGGTGTGATGTGTCGCTTTGGATCAGATCGAAACATTTCCCACCCAGCTTGGGCGATCATAGCTCCATTATCAATGCAAAACCTCATGTCTGTAGCAAACAATTTAGCTCCTCTTTCCTCAGCCATAACCCCCATCATTTCCTAAGTAAAAATGTCATTTTTTACACCTTACAAATTGAAATAATGTAGCACTGTGTAAAAAGTAAAGTCTATGCCAGGGGTGGGCAAAATTTTTTAGTAGAAAAGCAGCAAGTCAGAAATATACGAGAGCCGCATAAATTTTGAAATTGATAATATTAGAATACCATGCCCTTTACACAAACGCACAATAACAATATTGCGAGGCCAAAAAAAACAAATAGAATTCTGTATGATGAAATATTGGGCTCAACTTCAACAGTTTTTTTTTAAGATCTGAAGTAAATCTTATTAATGCCCGCTATCATCCTAATGCAAAAATTGTGTAGGTCACTCATATGAACCAGTCTTTCCAAACATAATTTGGCTGTGTTCAACTTTTTGGCGTTCTGAGTCACATACCTGTAATCTTACGTTACATCCCACACCACCGACTATCAAAACTTCTTGTGATTCACAGTGAGCCATGGCTCTCTCTGTTATTTCGACAAGCATCGCAAATATAGTTTCTTGAAGTGAATAACATAAATCTGCAGGGTTACATTCACCACTTTTCAACTGCTTTTTTGCAATCTCTTCTATGTGTGATAAAATTCCTGAATTGGGAAGCAATAGAAGATGTTCAATTTTATATCAAAATTTTATTTCATTTTATAATTAGTGTCATTTGAATAAAGAAGTACCTGAGAAAGATATATCCATTCCTTTTACAGTGTATGGTAAAGCAATGTATTTTGATCCTTTCTTTGCAAGTTGTTCAATATTATAACCAGGACTTGGATCATTAGAAATTTTTAATATTCTTGCAAATCTATCCAAACAATTCCCAACTGCAATATCAATAGTTTCTCCAAATATTCTGTACCTTCTATCTGAATAAGCAATTACCTGAATAACAATTAACGGAAACTTATTTAGTGATAATTTATTGAATGCCCGCTTGTAATCCAATTTTCCTACATCCAGGGGTGTACAACCTACAATACAGGAGTGCCGGATGCAAATGTCTGAGTGAAACCACGGGTCGCACCTATATTTAACAAGGGCTTTCTTGTAGTTGCAGGTTTCTGATATACATTATTTGTTTCGCACAAGCTAGCTGTTGGGTCATTTACTGTCATAAGTGCAGATAATAAATGGAACTCAGGGATAGGCTTTGCAACACAAAAAGATTGTTTCACGGGCCACACATCATTTAAAATCGGCACTTTTCTGCGGGCCACTCAAATTTTCCTTGTTGGTCGCATTTGGCCCGCAGGTTGCACACCCCCGATTAAAATATTACAAGACCTTTAATTTACTTATTCTCGTGTATAACAACAGTATAATTGTTTATCCCCGAATTACTTTTGCAATTCAGTATATATGGGGAAACATTATCAGGAACTTGCCACGGGCATCAGAAAGGTTTGGCACACCCCTGCCTACACAATCCCCTGGCTTGGGGGATACCTATGTGGGAGCAGATTGTTGAACTCCACAATGTCATGGGGGGTGGTTCACATAACCACTGAAATGAACTGGTAACTAATTTTATATTAGATAAATATGAAATGTGATACTAAGATATGGGTATAAAAAAACTTGTATTTCTATGACATTTTATGCTTGACTTTCACTTTATTAATTCCTCTCTGCTATTCATTTGTAAACTAACCTGAGTATTTCCACCACTAACGTACAGCACTGTAGGATTTTTGCTGCCAGTGATTAATCTGCCCATTTCAATATGGCCGACACAATGATTCACAGCAATGAGAGGTTTGTCCCAAAGTTGTGAAATAGTTCGAGCAACAATAGCGACACTTAACAGTGGAGCAGCCATGCCAGGACCCTTTGTATAGCAAATGCAGTCAATTTCTGATGGTTTGACATTTGCTTCATCCAAAGCCTGTCTGGTATCACAAAAGGAAATAGATTATTATGACAAGCATTGTATAAATTCCAAGGTTAAACACAATCAGTTACGTTGCAGACTATTTTGATATAATAATGAATATAAAACACTTTCATAGATATATTTTTTTATATACAAAGGTATAATGAAAAAAATTTCATTATATAATCATTTGACAGTAATTCACTACATAAATATTAGATATATTTCCTATGAATATAAAAAATATGTTTATTCCTCTCTTCCTTCATACAAATTTGTTCAAAGCAAGGTCCAGATTCCTCATTTGAAAGAGAGATTGATAGAGTTGCAAGCCACCACTGAGCAGCAATTAAAAATTTTGAATCAATTGAAATATAAAATCACAATCCTAACCTTCATAAACAAATTTGGGCTCTATTTTGAAATACCGGTAATGCACAAACGAGAATATCGGTCGGAGACCAAAGACTTATCGATCTTAGATCGGTAATTAGTTAATAACTCGCTAATTATACGACATAATTAACCCAAAGCTTCTGGTCCGAGGTAAGATGCATGCACATGCAAAATTTGGAGCAGATTCAACCACGCGTTCGCGAGATATAGCGTTCATCTAACAGACACACAGACAGACTAAGTAATAAAATATAGTTACCTCAGTATCTTTAGCGCCCAATCTCTATGATGATTAGCAGTGTCTCTAGGAAGAAATCCTTCACCAGGAGGAGTCACATATGTGTGCCTGGGATTGGAAAGAACTACACCATCTCTCATGATACCTATTCCCAACTTATTAGCACTACCTTCAAGTCCTATAGCCGTTATAGGCATTTTTGAATGATTTAGAATTATTATTTCAAATACTACAAAGTTGAACTTATCCTAAAAAACGAATAAGGCATTTTGATAAATGGCAGTTTGATAATAGATAGTTAACATATCAAAATGACACAAATACAAGGGAAGAAATATTGTATTTGGCGAATCATAGATCGTATAATGAGATGGGAAACATCTTGGAATCACTCGCAGTCTCGCACCAACTATCACTAGTCCGCCCACCGTCCTAAAAACCATCAAATCGGGCATCATTCAGCATTGGCGTGACCATATTTATAATTCCCAAATTTAATAAAGTCAAGTATTCATAAAGTCCTGTTACATTTTCAATTTTATTACTTAGTCGGGTATAAATTCATCTTAACCAGGTTTGCTTTATTTTAAATAGCCTAGTGTTTATCAAGTTTTTCACTCCATTTCATACAAAAGGTGGCAACATACTATATATGGCATTGGAAATTTCAAGACTTTATAAATACCCTTATGAATATGATACATCCCAAAATTCAAAAATATACATTCTGAGCAAAATTTCACTAAATCTATATTTGAATAAACATATCAAAAGAGAAGGCGACATTTTAGGGTTTTATTGTTGTGAAATAATACAGAGGCATGTACAAGTTTAAGATTATAGTTCAAGAATCGAACAATAGGTGTATAGCAGAGGTTCCCAACCTTTTATAGCTCGAGGCCCCCAGGCTTTTGGCCCCCTGTTTTTCATTACAGTACTATTTATATTGATAGAATCCGAATCCCATTGGGGTCAAACAATCAATGTTCCACAAGGTGGGGAAGAGTTTTCTTGTAAAAAGAAAAGTGAAATCAGTTTAGCGCCTAGCAATGTGCCCTCCCCCCTCTACTGCTGTTGGGAACCTCAGGTGTATAGCGAATTTGATTATTTTTTTGTTAACAAAGGCCCAAACTCCCGAATAACATTACAGAACATTAGACATGCAAAAATAAGCTAGACCTCAGATTCTATGGAAATGAATCTGCAACATCATAATCAACATGAGCTTCATTTTCGAAATTGGATGAAAGTTTTTGTCGTTTAGGTGGAATAAGAACACCATCAACTTTTTTTGAAATGATTGCAGAATTAGCATTTGGCGCACTGCCTTCAAATATATTATTTTCATACTCTTGAGCTTTCTGTTGCAAAACAACTATAAACTGAGGAAATTCAACAATTGTCTTCCCACGTAATGCTGATTTAATTGTAGACGCAGTATCTATTTTGTAGTATTTTATTTCATTTGCTGGTAAGTCCATCCTCTTCATATAAATGCACGTTTCTGAGTTATCCAAGTATTTTTGGATGTTGATATTACCACTGTCATCTGAACTGCAGGCTTCTGACAAAGCCTCTTTAATAGTTTTTGTATCAATAACTTTTTTCTTGTGTATGGAATGATTCAAAGTTGGAAAATGCCACACTATGTGCCATAAAAATGCTTGTAACTTACAATGATAAAAAGTACTATTGAGTTTATGTTGTGTGAATGTAAACGGCAATAATTTTAAGTTGATGTTCATTCCTTTTGCTTTTTTTATTTGGAGTGACATTCCTTTTGTTGAATTGGGTAGACTTCCTGAAATATATCTTCCATTATTGTCAGCGCATCTTGCAATTTCTTCAAGCAATCTATAATCATTCAACATATTGTTTTCATTATATTTATTGAGTGGAACGAATGTAGTTTTGCATCTGACTCCATCACAATCGTTCATTTTTTTGTGAGTTTTCACGCAAAGGAGACAACAAGTTCTTACAGAGCATTTTGGACATTTATACTTGGGTGGATTTTTGGCACAAACTTCGCATTTTGGTCCCTCAATTACAGTACTTGGTGATATACTAGTAGAATCAAGATCTTTGAGAATATTTTCCATGACATCTCTGCATATATTATCATCATTATAAGAAGCCTGCATGTTGTTTACAAAATCACCTTTATTGTTAGGATTATTTGTATCAAGTTTATTAAAATATTCCAAAGTTACCAAGAAACCAGGTATATTACCAGCCTATCTGAAAATAAAAAATATCAAAAATTTAAATTTCAGTGATATGCATCGAAAGTTGACATAATATGAAGCTATACAGAATAGTGTTATAATACCAAAACTCGAATACGGCAACAATCAAAGCATATGCACAGACTACACGACAGGAAAAATATTTCATGAAAAGGTAAATTTTAAAGAAAAAAATCTATTGAACTTTTAGCCTATTCCAAGCCATAATCGGTGAAGTTTTGGAATGCATTATAATATTATCCAAAACTGCCTGTATTTGTTTTTGAAAAAATTTGCTCAAAGCAAGATCACATGCACTCACTCAGAAAAAGGAGACAGATCTTTTACTGGAGTCAAGCATGACCACTAAAATGCCAACGGCTACTGAGGTTATCCAGAATCGGATTGTAGTAATGAGTGTTAGTGAATGGCGATAGACATGGGACTTAAAGCAAGCACTGTCAGCATCTGCATACAAAATAAATTTCACAGGATAAGAGTGTTCAATAATTAGGCGACAATCAAAAAAATTAATCATATGCTATAGATCTCAATTACCTAGATATTATATAAATGAATGGAACTAATTTGGAAGTATAAATCTAAGTATCATCGAAGATTTGATAACAAAAATTCATACTTATACAGAAGCAAGATTTTATATATCATGATAGTAATGTATAATGAGTTGAAGGAAATTTAAAACTGAAACAAAATTCACATTCCACCAGAAATAGCATCTCAACACAGATAATAGGATGAATATATATCTGATTTACCATATTTTCCATTTCAATTTAAGTTAACCAAAAGTATTGATACTAGAGATGTACCGATACCAGCTAAAAACGCCGATACCGATCCTACAAAAAGGCAGATATTCTGATACTATGTAATTATTACTTAATTAGGGGTGCTTTGTAGGGCAGACGGGTTAAAGCAATGGTATTTGAGCGTTGTTCTTAGTACACATTATTTCAGATCGAAAAAAAAGGTATATCACATAATATGAAATTAATGTTTGGTGTTTGCTTTAACTGATTAAGATACATTGTACAGTAATGCTATTTATCTCGGTGTTCAATTAGAAAACTCATAAGCCGGGATGTCCAATTTGAATTTGATGTTAATAATATCGTGACCTTCGAATATATTATTCGTGTTTAAAAGAATATCGAATATCACCCACACATTCTAGCGCCGCCGTCCTTCGTTCAAATTAAAATCATTTTACATATATTTTATTTCGTGGCTAATCGTAATCTTCGACGCAATAAGTCAAAGCCAACATGAAAGAATATCAATCAGCACCGACGAAAGGAAGGCCTACCTATAACCGTCGAGGATGTTTTTTTACTTTACTATTTTATAATATTTTACAATTGCTATCATATATTTTGAGACAGTCTAGAGCTAGGCGGTCATGTCAATATATCTATAAAGTAATTGTGTAGTTAAACAAAATTAAAATTAATATCTACGTAGAGGAATAATTGTGTCGGAATTTAGTTTATCGAGGTCGGCGGACTAAATGACACTCGTACTTGACGACAAACAGAAAATATACCCTTGCCAAAGGTCTATGTGCCATTAATAAGGACCCCAATTCCACTGTATGATTTAAAACTGGGCGCCTAGTTGCTTTTTGTTATGTGCCGTGTTGATATATTTCTTTATTATTACTATGTAATATTAAAAATGTCAATATAAAAATTTGACAACGAAAATAGCCAAATTAGTTGAGCTAGTTTGGCTGATAAATAGCTAAAAACATGTGAATCCTATTCTCTCGTGTGGGGACATGTACGGCTCATGGCTCACGATCTCTCCAGACAAAAAATAAATATTAAAAAGTAGTATTCCAACTAATCTTTTGAAACATTCTGGGCCATATCAAAAAGGTAAATATATCGGAAATATCGTCCTTAATCTAACCGATACATGGCCGATACCGAAAAAAATGGTCGATATTGCCGATACCGATACATCTCTAATTGATACAATATCAATAAAATGAACTTAATTATGTTTCATGAAAAATACATTTTAACCATCCATCATATCAATAATAACAAGTAGCCAACCCACCAATGCTTTGTGAGATTAATTTTAATAATCATTGAGAATGTCACAATCACAGCAAACAAAAATGATAATCAGAATTAAATTATGCTAACGGAATACTAAATTTCAGTATTTGTATTTAAAATTAGGAAATTGATATCATCTATGTGTGTTACATCCTAATTTTAAAGAAATACCATATATCTATAAAAAACATCAATCATTTTCACATGTAAGACATTAATTATCATGAGCTTTCATTTCCAAAATGCAAGCTATAAGCTTTGACTTTTAATTTTCCGAGTTCTTCTTGTATTTTATCAGTTATTTCTTTTCTGATATTTTCTTTAGTCCATCCCATTTTTTTCCAGGTGTCAATATGAGAATCAAATACCATCGGGCTACCGATAAGAATGGTTACTTTCTTACCAACTCTAGGAATGTAAGGTCTTCTATTCGGTAAAATATCATCCATTCCGACATGATAAAAAGGCAGAACAATAACAGATTGTTCACATTCACTTACTAAACGTCCAACACCCCATTTCAGTCTGATAAATTCTTTAGTCATATTGACACGTCCTTCAGGAAATATATGCATCCATTGGCCTTCATTCAGCTTATTCAACATAAAATCCATCCCTTGTTGGTAGATACCTCCACCTCGTACAACTGGTATCACTTTACCAAGCCCAAAAAACCATCCATATAATTTATTTGTAAAGCAGATATCATAAGCACCCATGCTCCACCTCATATTTTTTGGTTGAAAGAAAGCTTTCCATCGTAAGCATCCCCATAGTAAAGGGTCATCAATGCAGCTATAATGATTTGAAACAGTGATTAAAGCAGTATTTTGAGGTCGTTTGTTGATGACATCATGCAGCGTAGACTCCATAAATATTTTTACATTGTTGAACTTGCACAACCAAATTTTAGTCAACATTCCAACAGTTGAAATTGCAGCTGCAGATGAATATCTCCATACAAACTTATACCGACTTGTATCTGCAGGTATGGGCCATGAAGGCTTGATTTGCTCAGTCATGATTTAAGGCTATGTCAAACTATTTGTAAAAATTAAAAATATCATTAAACATTAAATAAACATTTAGCACATACAGACATAGGCTATTCTATTGATAACACCAATATAAAATTTATTCAAAACATAAAATAGAATATGTTGTTATATGTTATGGAAGAATATCTCACAATTCTTCCTAGGAAAGAAAAATGATATCATACAGTCATATAATATAATAAATGCATGTACTTGGACTGTGGAGGACCAGCAATTGGGAATCAGAACTAACAAGACTAAACGGTAATTTGTATTTTAATAAAGACAAATAAAGTTGTATTCAATATACGATTATTATGATAAGCCTTGTCAGCTTGTTTTTGCGTTTCAATAACTTTAATGACAAAAATCACGCACAAAAAATAATATTTGAGGAATTCAATATTATGTTGGCGATTTATGCATTTGCTGCACCTTAAAAAGTTTGAAAGATTATTTGATAGTCAACAATTTGAAGGGAAACAATAGTCAGACCAGAAAACAAAATTCATTCATTTATTTGCATGCTCCAACATAAATCTGTAGATGCAGAGATGGCAGAAGCATGATCTTTGGCCCATTTACCGATTGGCATATGCAAAAAAATTGTTGAGCCAGGCCAACTAGAAGTGCATGTGGTACTAAACTATACCAGACCCCACATAGCCTAGTTAACAACAAAACTAGTCCAATAGGATAAAACCTATCGGTACATATTTATCTGGGAGAGTTTTTGGATGCATGGATACCGGTAGTCTGGTAGGATCGTCATAGGTACAGTACACATAGGCTACGGTACCTTCTGAACTTAAAACAAAAACATTGCCATCATTCTGCATTTCTGTCATTTAAACAGCATGAATTTTGATCCTGAAAATATGTACCCGGTACTGGAACGAGTGCAAAACTCTTTTTGCCAAATAAATTCCAATGCCAAACGGAATTTTTGCATCGAGATGCTTGTATCGAGATGCTTGTGGCGCGGCGGTGTGGCTCAACGGGCTAAGCGTTAGGAATACGCTCGCCACCGCACCTCTAACTAAGCTGCGTGGGTTCGCAGGTTCGAATCCCATGCAGGATGGTTATGTGCGAGAGGATTGCTGGACTCCTCGCCGTCGTTGGGTGGTTCACGTAACCGCTGGTCGGTTACGGCTTCCTCCACCACCAAGTCCATGCTTCCGAAAAAAACAAACAATACAGTAAAACTAATCCCATACCCGACTTGGAATGGTAACCGGACGAGAGGCCGTGGTTCGCCATATGGATAAGCCGTCTTATCGGCTTTCCTCTCCCCCGGGATAAATATGTAAATCCTATCCTATCCTATCCTATCGAATCGGTACGGTACCGTACCGTATATTTTTAAAATAAGTTTAATGACAGAATGAAAAGAAGTTTGATTACTCCTATTATTATTTTTTTGGCTCTGATTTTAATTTATCAGTTCCATAATTTTGAACACATTCCCACAAGTTCTAATAGTAAGAATAAAAACATAAACCATACCGGTATGCGGTATCATTACCACTGTACAACATCGACATAGCTTCTTTCATCAAATGCTGTAGACAGCACATAGTATTTTTTGCTCCGCACCGCCATATGTGACAATATTATAAATCAAAATATCGATATCTCCCTGACATTTTAATTGGATAGGACAATGAGCATATATACAATGAGTGGAAACTTGCAAAGATTTGCTCATTTTGGTATTGTTCCCTGCATTTTTACGTCGTCTAGCTAAATGGTTCGTTGCATATTAAGAAAACGCATTGCTCGCTGCCAAAATCCCTTGCTTCAGCCGAGTCGGGTGCGAAATTGGCCGCATTGAGGTCTGTAATTCTTCAATACATATTTGGTTTTGGGTTTCGAAGTATGGTACGCTGAAAGCATACAACTATGAGCATATGCTTATTGGGAATGCATATCTATTAGGCAGAAAACGTATCTACAGAACAGAATATGAACCAGTCGCCGAGAGGGGTGCGGTTATTTATGTATTTATTCATTGATATAACATGGGATTTACATATTTATCCATGGGAGAGGAAAGCCGAGAAGAATGCCTAAATATATGGCGAACCACAGCCTCTCACAATCATAGCTCTGTCCTCCATATGAATCACATGGCTCTGCGAGCTATTCGTTTACTTATTAAAAATACTGATTTTAACTATAATATTTTAACTATCAATATGATTCTTGCATATCATTTAATTTTAACGATCCTTTATATAGTCATATAGATCAATGAGCATATATACAATGAGTGGAAACTTGCAAAGATTTGCTCATTTTGGTATTGTTCCCTGCATTTTTACGTCGTCCAGCTAAATGGTTCGTTGCATATTAAGAAAACGCATTGCTCGCTGCCAAAATCCCTTGCTTCAGCCGAGTCGGGTGCGAAATTGGCCGCATTGAGGTCTGTAATTCTTCAATACATATTTGGTTTTGGGTTTCGAAGTATGGTACGCTGAAAGCATACAACTATGAGCATATGCTTATTGGGAATGCATATCTATTAGGCAGAAAAGGTATCTACAGAACAGAATATGAACCAGTCGCCGAGAGGGGTGCGGTTATTTATGTATTTATTCATTGATATAACATGGGATTTACATATTTATCCATGGGAGAGGAAAGCCGAGAAGAATGCCTAAATATATGGCGAACCACAGCCTCTCACAATCATAGCTCTGTCCTCCATATGAATCACATGGCTCTGCGAGCTATTCGTTTACTTATTAAAAATACTGATTTTAACTATAATATTTTAACTATCAATATGATTCTTGCATATCATTTAATTTTAACGATCCTTTATATAGTCATATAGATACTGTTGATTTGGATGCAATTATACTTTTGTTATCAATAGTGAGAAATATTTCAGGACTGCTATTAACTATGTGAGCTATTTTTTCTGCAATGCAAAATACATCCTGCGTCTTCTATTTACTATGTGAATTAATTTTTCTGTAATGTAAAGTATTTCCATAACTGCTTTTACTATGTGGGCTGTTTTTTCGGTACTCTTGTAGTATGCGTACCAGGTTAAGTTACGATTCTCCTTATTTTTGTTCTATTAAAAGTTCGGGAATTGTCTGTGTTACACAAGTGAATATCCCCCTACCGATAGAATTTAGTCCATTTACACAACTTGATATAAAATAGGCGAACAAAATTAGTTACCTTCATATTGGTACACATACTTCTGGAGCACCATTTTTTTTGTAATGTGAAATATTTAATATGTGAACTAATTTTTTTGGAATGCAAAATATTTTCTACAGCTTCTGTATTTTTTATATGTCACTTTTTATTTCATCGATAATACACATGGTCTGGCACATTGATCATTCTTTGTGGAGTTTTTGGTAAATTCACAGATGGAATAAGACCGACATTCAGCTTTTTTCTGTTTTACAACTGTAATACAAATTGAAGTATGTAAACCCAGTTGGTAGACACCGGAACCATGTGTACCAGGTTAGGGTCTACTACATACAAACATTCCCAAACTTTTCAAGCCTTTTTTTTTTGTGAAGTCTTGCGCCCCACCTCAAAATAGTTAGCTAACAATAATAAGCTACAAATAACAGTAGTAACAGTAAGGCATAAGTACGTTTTATTGGAAAAACAGTTGAAAATACATGGATGGAACGAAATAAATGACAAGTTTTGATATGCAAATATTTACAAGTTTTGATATGTTTAAAATTAGCCAAGTCCAGAAGTCAGTATTTTAAACTAATAGAGAGAGAGAGTTTATTTCGTTCGTCAAACCATGAACATATATAATTTATAATAAAAAAAAAACAGATGCTCAGGTGTTTGACTGGGAGACAACGTTACAACATTTGGGGTCATTTAACAGGTTCGGTGTTAAATTCTTCAATTGCTCTCATATACCGTATTCACTATATACATTATTCACAAGAATTTTTGATTTGAAAAGTACTAAATAAACATGTTTTGTCCTAAGATCATCATTTATTCAGCTGATACGTTGACATGTATTGCATATCAACTGCATAAAAATGGGTTAGCAAGGATACCTATTATTTGGAAAATTTGTCTACTAAAAATGCATGTGATAGGACATGGGTTTTTTATGAGCAAAGATGAGGAAAATTCTATTATTATAGCACTTTAATTATAAACATTTGATAATAGTAATGAAATCATGAATATATTTCTTTATACACTATAATTTGAACACATCAAATTATAATACTTGATTATGACTGGCAAGTGATTTGGAGGATAGTGACACACATTAATACATGATCAGGATTTGACCCTTCTCCAGCAGATATATATATATATGAAATAAAGTGCTCATGTACATATCTATATTCGGCTACAGAGCACGTATCACAGAATGAATTTGAATGCGAAATATTGATAATATTCTGAAATAGCAATGATAAACAATAGGTTATTTTTAAATAAGTATTACCGGTACTAAAAAATAAATAAAGTGCTCATATACATATAGATATTTGGATACAGAGCAAGTATAATGAAACTTTAAGATACTTTTAAATGAAGTATTACTAAAAAATAAATAATGTGGTCATGTACATAGATATTTGGATACAGAGAAAGTGTCATAGAATTTAGGGCGAAATATGGATGCAAGTATGATAAACAATTTGATATTTTTATAAAAAATGTTACTAACAAATAAAATAATAGATTATGGAGTTCCAGCAAGTGTGCTCATAACAAATAAAAAGATAGCAATTCATTTACCACAGTGACTTAAATTCATTACACATTACTACTTGCTACAACACGGCGGGCACATGATACTCATCGTGTTTTAAACTTTTTTAAAGGTTTTGCTCGCTCTCCAGAACTCTCCACTTTTTATTTGTTCGTATTGTCAGATTGTGGACTTTTCAAAATAAACTATCTCTATCTATATCAATGAATACAATATCCCAGGTCACCACTTGGCTGGTTCATATTATGTCCTGTAGTTAAGTTTTCTGCCTAATAGATGGTATGTATTCTCAATAAGCTTTACAGTATGCTCATTCGTTCACTCAATGAGTGATTTTAATTACGGTTAATATAAAAAAAATATATATAATATAAATAAGTTC